TACAGTGTGCTAACATATACTATTAACTTACATCACCCCAGACTCTCAGATGACTCAATTTAAAACAGCACTGAGGGCGCCTGGGTGGCTCAGTCAGTTAAGCATCTGCCTTCGGCTCAGGTCATGATCCCAGGCTCCCAGGATCCCAGGCTCCTGCTCAGTGGGGAGCCTGCTTCTCCCTCTCCCTCTGGCCCTCCCCCTACTTGTGCTCTCTCTCTCACTCTTTTTCAAATAAATAAAAATCTTTAAAAATAAATAAATAAATAAAACAGCACTGAAAACTTACACTTAGCTTATAGACTAATACAGGTAAATTATTTTTAAGGAAGGGAAAAAGATGACCCAAATTAAAAATTGCTTACCCATAATTCAAACACCCTGAGATAATAACCCTATTAACAATTTGTTATATTTACATCCAGCTTATTATGTCATTGCATATATACCTTGCCATATATCATTACTTTAAAACATAATTTGTATTCATGCATATATTTTGAGAAATATCTATAGATTTCTATGAATATGAATCTTAGAGCTCTCTATGATCTAAGTTCTTTATATTTTTGTAACATTCATTTTCACTTGAAATTATATTCCTTTCCATAGCAACAAATACACATTGATAGCAACATTAAATAGTAGCACCAAATTCAAATGCATCATCTGCCATCATCTGGATAGACCGTGATTTATTCTCTCAATGCTCATTGCTGGACATTTAGATGTTTTTCACTATTCATACTGCTGTGATAGGCATCCTTGTGGATAAATCTTTTAATCCTTTCTGCAAAATTTCCTTGGATAAAAGTCGAATTGCTGGGGGTATGAGCATATGTGCTTTGAAGGCTACATATACACATGACTAAATTGCCCTCCGGAAAGTTATAAAGATAGTGGTTCTTGGATGTCTTGTACACTTTTAATTGTGCTAATATCAAATGGTGTTGGTAAATGTCCTGACAAACAGAACTCCCTCATTCAATGCCGATGATTACCACTGGCTTATTATAATTGTGCTTAAACAATGGTTACAGTGAAAATGGGAGAATCCACTGAAATGTTGACATAATCGCAGGGATTGTGGAGTGGATCTTGTCCTGCCCAAGTTTTGTGCCCAATCGTGGGGACAACTTGGCTTTGCTGCTATAAGTTGATCAGCACCAACCCCAGTGAATTCTCTTTTAGAGGCAACTATCTGTAGGCAAGATTGGGGGTGGGGGATATTTGTCATGTCATATTTGGAGAGTATCATATTTGCTTCCTGAAGGGGGTGAAACTTGAGACATTTAAGAGAGTGATGTGTACACAACAGTGAGTTCAAGCAGGGTTTCAATTGTGTATTTTCAAATTATCTGGCAGGGAAATTTGAGTGTGTTTGTTTTTTCTTTGTTCATAAGTATTTTTAATTCACAATATCTTTTAAGAAAATTACTTTGGTCCTGCAAGAAAGAGTTAATGAGGTGCTCAGGAAAAGAGAGTGATTAGGAAGAGGTAACCTTGACTTCAAATGTTTGATCTCAACATGGCCAATTTCATTGCTTTCACAGCAAAATGCACCAGAATGGATGTCATCTGATGTTGATCACCCAAAAGAGGAAGGGAAGGGAAAAGAAGACAAGTTAGAATAATTCTTGATCTATTGACTGCCTTGGCACACCCAAGGGAGGACATATTTCGGATAGAAATTCTAAGGCTATCAGGTAACAGAAAATCCAATTCAAACTGGTTTAAATAATAAAGGAGATGCTCATGAAAAGTCTAGTGATGCTTGATCAGTTCAACAAGGCACCACGGAACAAATTTTTCTTTGACTCTCTTCTCTGCCTTCCCCCATATCTTCAACTGGAGGCTGGCAACACTCATGGGCACAAAATGGCTACCAGCAACTCCCAGGGATATCTGCTTCTCCAATTATAGTCAAAGAAGAAAGAGGACGTCACTGCCTGTGGTTCCTCAAAAGATCTAGGAATCATGCTTTCTAGAAGCCCCTGGCAAATGTCTGCTTGCATCTCATCTGCCCAAACTACATCACATGACCATTCCTAAACCAGTCACTGTGATGGGGGATGGGCTGTGCTGTTTGGCTTCAGCCATTCAGGACCACCCCTGCTGCTGGTCCCATAACTATCTCCCAGAGTGCAAGTGCCCGCATGGGAGAGGGGCAAATGGTCTAATGAGGGAACTAGTAGCAAGAGGGAGAGGGAAGCGATCCCGGGGTGTGAGGAAAGCAAATGTCCATTATGTAGAAGTTGTAGAAAGTACTCCCGGAGATCCGTACATGCCTCCGTGGAGGTCTGTCTCCTCTCCCACTTCACCCATCCCTTAAGCTGAAAACTGACAGGTTTGCCATTCATTTTCAGCCAAGGGGTTGAAACAACTGGGTATATTAAGATATATTACCTGTAATTCATTGTTAATAATAACTACAAAGACAAAGTTGATACATGATTCCACTGTTTCATATCTAGTTGAGTTTATTGGAGGCTATCCTGGATGCTTTTTTTGTATCCTATATATTTAGTGGGTGAGAAGGCGCTGCAGTGACGAGTACTCTGGGGGATTGCCAGAGACTCTCCATTCCTTTTTTTTTTTTTTTAAAGATTTTATTTATCTATTTGGAGAGACAGAGCATGCACAAGCGAGCGGGCAGAGGGGCAGAGAGAGAGTGGGAGAGAGAGAATCTCAAGCAGATTCTGTGCTGAGCGCAGAGCCTGACATGGGGCTCGATCTCACAACCCAGATCACGATCTAAGCCAAAATCAAGAGTCAGACGCTTAACCTACTGAACCACCCAGGCCCCCGGAGACTCTCCATTCTTCATCTGAGCTGCCTCACACAGGACGTGTACTGGGTGACCCAGGAGAAAAATGGTTGGGAATCAGGCCAGTGACAGGCCCTTCCCCCTGGCTCCAGATGTCACTCTCCACCCCCACCACACTGCCACAACGCTATTTGCCTTGGATGCAGCTATACTCCTCCCTTCCCACATTCCACCTAAAAGGCCCAGAGCAGTGGACATCACCGCACAATTTCAATTCCAGAGAAAGCAGGTGATGAGAGCTGCTGGGGAAACACCACACCGCCCCCCATGTGTCCGGTGCCATATTGTGATTTCTGCTGGTGAGCATACCACCAGTCCTTGCTCCGGAGGCCTTTGGGAAAACACCCTCCACACAGGGCCACCAGTTGGCCTTTGCCAAACTTCACTTGGCCACTTCCTGTTCTTTTGTAATCTTTTCTCTTTATCACATAGCCGAGTCAGATTTATTGCAGAGCACCAGGAATTTCACAGAAGCTAAGGAAAAGTAAAATAAAATTCGCCATAATCCCACCCCCAGAGAGACTCCCTGCATTTGGGGGCAGGGGGCACGGCTATCTGTATCTTTGGAGATGTGCACATGCACAATCATTTTCCAAAAAAAACAAAAGCAGAATCGCGTGACACATATTGTAACATGTCTTCCCACTCAAAGAACTCAGACATCTCCGTATGTCAGTAAATATACTTCCATCATTACATCGCCACCACACTTAATTGCTGCATACTATTCCATTGTTTAGATGCACTATAATTATTTAACCTGTCTTCCATTGTGAAGATGTATAGGTTGGTTTCCAAGAGTTTGCTCTCACAAGCAGCATCCCAGTGAACAATTTTGTTGATGGATCTCCGTGCCCATGCAGGGATATTCCCATAGGATGCCTGACAGCAGAAGGATCGTTAGATCCGGAGGCAAGCGCACTTTGGCAGCACTTAGTATGCACTGACGAATCGCCCTTCAGAAAAGTCACTGCAATGCATCCTCCCACCAGCTTCATCTGAAAGGACCCATTTCCCCAGAATTTCTTGAGATTTCCTTTGATTAAAAAAAAATTAGTATTGCAGGAATTCATTCCAAGACGCGGTAATCCAGATAATGGTCTTATTATCGTTTCGCAAAGCTGGGGCTGAGAAAAGTGACTTTTATATTAGAATACAGTTAATTTAACTCTCTTCTTTACCTTGACCTGGTATCAACCTCTGAGCAATGAATTTAAGTCTTGTGAGGTTTCCCTTATGGCTAGGCAAGGCAAATGAATACTAGAAAGGGAGGAAAAAATCATGAACCACCACCTGGATAATTCACTCCTAAAATCCTGCTGTGTGGACGGCGAGGGCGAGAAATGTCCCTGGGCATCTTTACATTGACAAGATTCAGCTTTGCAGATCAGCTGCCTAGGCCACCAACAACGATTTTTTTTTTTTACCTGATTGTTAAACATTTTTATTTTTTTTTTATTATGTTCATTTAGCCAGCATATAGTACATCATAAGTTTTTGATGTAGTGTTCAACGATTCATTAGTCGCATATAACACCCAGTGCTCATCACAACACATGGAACATAAGGAATAGAGCAGAGGACCACAGGGGAAGGGAGGGAAAACTGAATGGGAAGAAATCAGAGAGGGAGACAAACCGTGAGAGATTCTGGACTCCGGGAAACAAACTGAGGGTTACAGAAGGGGGGAGTGGGGGGATGGGGTAACTGGGTGATGGGCATTAAGGAGGGCACATGGGGTGACCAACGATTATTAATATTTAATTCTTTGCTTTACTTTGAGTATGATGCTAATGAGAGCCTCCATTTATCAAATGCTTGCTATGAATGAGTCAGGATGTGGCAATGAATTTACTTGTCACAACAAGGTAAAAATTATTCCTCCACTCTGCTGAAGAAACTGAGGCCCAGAGAGGTTGAGTAATTTGTCCAAGATCACACAGTCAGTCACCAGACAGAACCAGGGTCAAAGCTCGGGTCTGCCTGTCTCCAAAGCCCTTGCTAGTTCCACTGTATATATGGCCCCTCTTCGGTATAGAGAAGGTCACCGTGCCACCCAGGACCCCTCCAACCTGATCAGAGATCTCAGATGAAGGCACGGGATTTCCTGAAGCCTGGCTCCATTTGTAATGGTCGTACTAACCCTTCTGTCTTTCACTTCTTGCCTTCCCATCAGGTGCCAGACAAGCCAATGAGGAACATCAAGTATATGGACAAGGAAATAATAAACCTCAAAAAAGACCTTGCACGAAGCCGGTGAGTGAGGCCAGCAAGGAATAACCCATAGACAACCTGACAGGGATAAGCAGGCTGTGGGGTGGTCCCTACAAGTCCTTGCTGAGTCCCAAGGTTCCCCCAATCCTAAATGTTGGGCAGAAGACTTGCAGAAGGGTAGCCCTTGGTTGGACTTTTTGGGGAGTACCGACACTGGACTTACCTCTCCACCCTTGCTCATGCCAGCCCCTGCCTAGAATTCCCTTTGCTTTCCTTCCTGGACCTGAATCCAACTCAAGAGAGTTCCCACGTGCTCCAGAAAAATCTCTCCTTTCTACTCCAGGCGCACCACATGGTAGCCCAGAGTCAGAGAGACTCAGTCTCAAACACTGACCCTGCTATCTGCGAGCTGGTAACAATGGAGAATTTGTTTAGCCTTCCCAAGTCTCTGTGTTCTCGCCTGTAAAATGAATATAATATGCAGTCGCTAGAAGGACCGGATGAAATAATGTATATAAAGTGCCCCCTTGCATAGCCTTAAACACAAGGCCATCCATCTCCTCCCCCCACCTCTAACTCCTTCCTGTATTGACAGTGTGAGCCAACTGAGGTCCAGGACCATATCTCAGTCATCTCTGCGTGGTGAACTGAGCTTTTTCTCTCTCTCACCCCTTAACTCTGTTCTGGCACCTAGAACATTCCAAGGTGGGATCATAAATGGGACCCTTGGCAAAGCACCCCGAGGCAGAGTAAGGGATGGAGACTTTCACAAGGATGTGCGAAGAGGGCGTCATATAGGCATTGTGGATGGCCCGTTTATCTTACGTGTCCCCCCCCCCACCCCGAGCCAGACCACAGACAGACTCAGGGCGACACATTCCCTTCCTTCCCCTCCCTCACCTGGAAGCCCTGCTGTCTCCACTACCCACCTGCATGTCCACCCCTTCCCCGGCCAGCAGCACAGCTGATGGGACCGGATGGCTGAGCCCAACAGGAGGCTGGAAGGTGTGGGCATGGAAGGTGGGGAGGAGGAATGACACGAAGCATTAAGGCACGTATAGACATCCACGGCGCCTCAGAAACGTAATGCAAGCCGTGCATGTGATTTCAAGTTTTTGAATAGCCACACTGTTGTAATTCTAATACTGTATTCTATTAACCCAAGATATCCAAAGTGTTCTCATTCATCATGTCCTCAATATCAAAAGTATTCATGAAATGCTATATTCCATTTTTCAGACATGATGAAAAGTGACAAAGTGAAACAAGATGAGGAGTGATGAGTTTACACTTCGGGCACATGTCAGTTTGGACCACCCACTTTTCAAGTGCTCAGTGGTTGTTACGGACTGAATTGTGTCATCATCCCCCCCCCAAATTCATATGTTGCAGCCCTAACCCCCAATGACTATATTTGGAGATAAGACCACTAAAGAGGTAATTAAGGTTAAGTGGGGTCATAGAGGTGGGCTCCTGATTCATCAGGACTAGTATCCTTATGAGAAGAGGAAGGGACATCAGGAAGGTACTGTCTACAACCCAAGGAAGGAGCCCTCAGGGGAAACCAATCCTTACCGGCACCTTGATCTTGAGCTTCCAGGCTCCAAAACGGAAAAAATAAATGTCTCTTGTTTACGTCACTCAGTCTGTAGTATTCTATGATGACAGCCCAAGCAGACTAATTTAATAGTCAATGTTGAGATAATCCTGCAGAGAATATCCCCAACTCGAGAGCTGATGGACCTCAGTCTCAGACTCTCACGTGGAGCTGAGCTCAGGGATGGCATGTGAACTTGGGTCTCAGAATTGAGGGCTGAGATCCACAAGGACTCCTCTGTTAGTTGTGAACATATTGGCCTCTATGGTGTTTGAACCCAGGTTAGAGGGCTTTTGGGGCTGATGCCTTGGGAACCTTGGGGCCCTGGGGAATGGTGAGAGGTATCATCAGGAAGTCAAGAGTTACCCGAATGGGGGCAGCATCCGTGACAGGCAGCAGAGAAAGAGGATTGCACAGCTAAGGATGAGCACCTGAACAGGGATCTGGACTCTAATCCATGGTCATGACTGCAGGATATTCCAGGCTTCAGAAGGAATGGTGCTACAGAGAATTTGGATCAGAGGTGAGGTTCAAAATACAGAACCAGCAGTATGTCACTGGGTACCAATCAATCAGAGCAGACACTGGCCATACCACCATTATGACCAGGTTGGTTCTTACCAGCTGAATATGATCAGCCTTAATGTAGATGATTCTAACCCAAAGCCCCAGCTGCAAGTGCATACCAGAATCTCCAGAGCCTGAGAAATGAGAGTTTCCACAATAATCTGCATCCTGTATACAGATAGTTGATAACTAAAGGTACCGCCAGATGGCTTGATCTATGTAAGTTCCAGCTACCAAGACTCGATCCAGGCCAAGAAGGTCAACAAGCAGTGCTGAGCCAGCTTGTAACCCAAACGGAGTGCTACATTTTCAGGAAATATGCACGCCTGTGATTAAACACAGCTGTGGTTAAAAATTATATACGCTTACAATTAAATACAGCATATTAAAGCAAAGGTCATGAAGACTAAAAAACCCCTAACGGTTTTGCACACTTTGCAGCTATGTGTGCTCCTGATGTTATTTTTGGTTAGGGCATCTGTGCGGTGGGCACGCTGCCTAACGGGGCGGCTGCAACGTCTTCCCAGCTCCGTGTTTACGGACGTCACCCTGGTAGCTCGAAATCAGCCCCAGTGGAAATACTGATGGCACAGAAATCCACAAACGCCACAAATCAGGGCTTGTGTCCCCCCCCCACCCCCGAACAGAGAATCAGTTGTTAAGCAATCCCCCGCACATCCCTGGGGACACGCCCCCCCGAAAATGACCGAGATTGAACTTTCGACTAATCCAGCAGCATATAGGGCTTTCGTCAAAAGGTGATAAAGACGGTGGCTTTCCTGCCACCCTTGAGTTGGCAAGCTGAGACTGTCACTCTGGCCAGATGCATTTACCACGGCTCTGAGACTCGCTAGATTGAACATCCTCATTGGACAGGCTTAGCCTGTCCACATGCTGGACATGAAAGAGAATGTGGAAAGGCCAGGCAGAAAAGCCACAGGCAAGAAAACAAGAAACAACAATAAAATGTTCCACCTGGCCACACTCCCGGATCCCACTGACATTTGAGGGAAAGAGCGCGCGTCCCCTTCAGAAGGAAACACCCTGCTTTGCAGGGGAAATCACCTCTCCGAGAGATGCAGACCCCATGCGCCCATCTCCCAGGACTAAATGAGGCGAATTATTAGCAAAGGAGATGTTGTCTTTTCCACTTACTGTGTTTCAGACCCGCTTCACCTCCTATTAGACTTCCACCCACCATGCACCAAACACCTTGACTACCTCTTAGATTTTTATTTAATAGTTCAGCCCTCTTATAATTCAATTGCACCATCCCCAGTTTCATGGCCAGTTTAACATGATGCTAAAAAGAATAAAACTCTAACTGCTTTCCTCCTCGCCTGCTCCACCAGATGTGTGGTGGTACTAGGCTGCACGCTATGCATTCGCTTGCCGAATCTCTCCTAGTGGAAGTCGACAATCAGGGGCATCTGCCTGCACGCGCCCAGTTTTTGGGTGACTCGTGCAGCCAATGACGTATCTTCCTCCAAAGCCGCTGGTGATTTATATTGCGAGTGTTTTAAGCAAAACAAACATCTCTGCAACCAAAACAACTGAAATGTTGACCTGAAGCCATGAGTTGCCCATGGCAAAGCTTAGTTAGTAGGTACACAGGCAATTGCAAATAAACAGTGATGTAATTACCCCCCTCCCCATGAGGCCCAGCAGACCCCAGCAGGGTACAGATTTCAAAAGTGTTTCTGAGGCCTGAGATGTTGCTTTCTAGCTGCATTTGGTAGACAGCTGGAGCAAGGCAGTTAGAAATAACAAAGGTGGAATTTTGGCAAAGGAAGAAGCTATTTTTTTTTTTTTTTTTGGTATGAGGTTAGGCACTTCTTGGTTCCTCCTTAGTTTTCTGTGCTCATTCATTTTCCTCAACAAATATTGAGTATCAGGTACCTCCAGGTCTACACCAGGCATCATTGTGTATATTGGAGACACGGCAGTGAACACAGCAGTCAAAATTCCTGTCCTCGGTGAATAAGGGGCAATGATGTGCATTAAAATTGGGCAAAGACAACAAACAAGTTAGCAAGTGCTTAAACAGGATTGGGGGGGGGCGGTGTCGGCCATATACTACGAGAATATAAAACAAGGTGATGTGCATAGCATGGCGATGGGGAGAAAGCTGCTACTTTAGCTAGAGTGGTCAGAGGAGGCCGTTCTGTAAAGGGCGCCCTGGGCCTGACATCTGAATGGTGAGAAAGGACCATTCACATAAAGATGCAGGAGGAAGAGAGGAAGAAGACAACACGTGGATTCCAGAGGACAATAGGGGGATGGGTGCCAAGGTTGGAACAAGCTGGAAGTGTTGGAGGAGCAGAGAGAAGTCCAGTGTGGCTGGAGCTGAGTGAGAGAAGGTGAGAGAAGCAGTAAATGACATTAGAGAAATGGGCCTCGGGCATCATAGGTCATGGTGAGCCCTTGAGTCTTAGCCTAAGTGTAATGAGAACCCACTGGAGGGCCCTGAACAAGAGAAGGATACGATCTGATTTTTAAGAGAACGTTCCATTTGCTGCGTAGAGCCCAGTTGAAAGGTTGTAAGAGTTGACAATGGCCTGGCAGGGAAATAGCAGTGAACTGGAGAGAAGTGGATGGATTCAGGATTTATTTGGAGCCACAGGACTGGCTAATGGATCGGATGTGAGGGACAAGGGAAAGGCAGGGTCAAGGTCTTACAATGACTTGCTTTTATCTCTTCCTCCCTCACTAGGATGTAAGATCGATCATAGCCTAGACTATACCACGTTCACTGTCATGGTCCCCAAGTAAGTGTTGATGGGATGAATTCTTTATGAGTTGACAGTGTTTAATAAAGGACATTCATTTTGAGATACGGTTTGTGTCTGAGTTGGTACGTAGAGTAAGTTTCTCCCAA